TATAAAAGATATATTAGTCGAACTGTTTCTTAACTCCCTGACTACAGGCTGCACTGGTTTGGAAACTCAAGACTTCATCTTCCTTCAGTTCACTCGTTAATTCATGCTCATCTCAGCCAAATGAATGAGATTCATTTCTGTGAGATGATTCATCATTGATAAGACCAACACCGATGTATCATCCTTACATTTAATTATCAAATTAGAGAAGAGGCGGGGGGGGGGGGCTCTGTCTAGAGCCTGTTTTCACAGGAACGTGATGTATTAATACAGAACCAATATTAATATGGTAAGCACTAGCAGGATCATTTTCAGACCAGTGGCGAATACCATGGCTTAATCTTTCTAAATAATGTTTTGGACTCTGTTAAACTGACCAAAAACTAAAAGTATTTGCCAAAATGTAGTTTGTAGCGAAAGAACATGACGTTCTATAATTTGAGGATACACAAATCAGCCGAAAAAGCAGTGCCCACATTAATGTACGCCTCCTACATGCAGCTTTAAAAATGTACAATGATGAAGAAAATCATTTGGCAGTTTACAGGTCAGGAGAAAGTTATTCCCATGAATTCTCCTCACATCTTGATCATTCCGTCCCCTTCCCCCTCTGCCCATAGAAGCATGCACACACCATTTTATGCTGAGTACATACATTTTAATGCATGTTGCGCTTGTAGCGGGGGATTGTGGTGTTAAACCTCCCCCAGCCCTCTGTTTTCTTCACACACACACAAACATGCACACGGAGGCCATGTTGACACAGACTGGTTAATGGCTTCACGAGGAACAAACATCCAATAATGCGCTGCAGTGGGTATTTTTTCTTCAGCATCGCTTGCACAAACAAGATCATATAGTACAGCCCTGTCCTATCAACATTCAACACACTACACACACCCACCCACACACACACACATCCTACAAAGTGCCTCATTCCATTGCGTTATAAAATGTAATTTCAATGGGAATATGCAGCCAATCGTTTTTTGCCGTACATGGAAACGGTCCATAAAGCTTTCATCCCACCTGTCTTTTACTTTATATCTGCCCCCTTAACATGCAGTCATCTCACATCTAATAATAATGATCATATTTGATGAGAATAATTGCCTTTAGTTCGAGTTTTCTGTTTTAAATTCTATAGCGTCATGAAGGTGTTTTCGGTCTTTGTGTGGTAAATTGACTTCACCATTAATATGGCGCCTTTCTAGTCATCCAATCACAAAGCATTTAACCAGGTGCTTAGTGAAATGGTTTTAAAATATAGTTTATTCTTGTCTGTTACAGGGAGGCGTGTGGCGCAGTGGAGTGGTGCGTTGGTGTTGGGATCAGGGGAGCACAGGTTCAAACCCCACTGCAGTCAGCATGTCGTTGTGTCCCTGGGCAAGACACTTCACCCCAAATTGCTCCTGTGGGGATTGCCCACAGTATTGAGTATGTAAGTCGCTTTGGATAAAAGCGTCTAACACGTAATGTAATGTAATGTAATGTTAACTGTGTAATAATCAAGATGAATTGTAGTGATGAACATTTGCTCTAAAAATCACATTTTTTTGTAAGTCCACGATACCACTTTTACAGCTTTGGTGTGTTTTAAGGTATTAGTGGCGTGCCATTTAACCAGGCAACCCATCTTGAAATAATGAATTGATTCTGGTGTTATGACATAAGGGAATATAACAGTATAAAATATTGATATTTTCTTTTTAACGTCGCCCATAGGTTTCTGAACAGACATTGTTTATCTCAATGTAGGGTGCTCCAGCTCCATCTAACGCCAAATGTTGGCATCATTAGTGGGGCTGAGGCAGGCCTCTGTTACTCAAAGCGGCCGAACCCAAATAATGCATAACTTTCTTTCCCTCCTGTATAGTTATCGTGAATAGGGAACTTAACTTCAGAGACCAAAAGCGTTTTTTGTGTTTTATGCCGTACAAATTGTATTTTCGGTTGTAAAGTTGTCTGTTTCAACATAGGGGTCTATGATGTTCTTTTGGTGCCAGCTCTTCCATGTTGCAGTTTTCGGCGCCTCTGAATGGGCTTTACATGCGTGTGGTGTGACCCTTCTCCTACAACCTCCACATCCATTGCTCCCTCAACAGCAGCTGCAGTATTTGATCACAGATAAGCTGTGAAGGGGGTGACCTTAAATGCTTCAATCGTAGACCTGAACACAGCATTAGCAAATATCTAGTGCCGCACATTGTTGCCGCATCTCTTCTCGCTTTACAGTCAGGCTCACTGCTCCCTATAATGGAAGATGGCACAAACAGCAGGATAAAATAGGTCAATTCCATAGGAGGAAATGTGTGCTTGCAAAGCTATAAAAACACTTACAGTAAGATGGGAAATGTAAAACCAGTGCCTCACACGCAGCGACACAGGCTGCAGAAAAAAGCAAATCACCTCTGCTTTGATATCACCTACTGCTGATATCTTCCACATCATTACTCTTGATCATTTGATTGGTCGGATGGTAATGAGTGAAGGCAGGTCGTTTTCCTGTCCACTTTCCAGTAAAGACGTCTGGGAATCGATTCTGGGGGTGAGGTGATCATCGATCTTGATATTGAGATGAAGGCACACTGATCCCCGAGTCGTAAATCATTCATTACATTAAAACTCAGTTTCCATTTTAAACTCTGTCCTCCGGCTGGTTTGCATTGTGGAGCTTTCGGTATAAGCACTGCCCTGGATCCTAGCTTCAAGACAAACTTCATCGAGCCGGTCCATCTTGATTAAATGTTGTGAGGCCATCAATGTGCATTAAGCATAAAAGAGCACATTAAAGCACTGCTGAACGCTTCCAACCACATAAAGAGCCTTTTCATTAAGATCCTGAATTAAACATGACTGAGAAGTTCTGTGCTCGGCTTTGTTAAAGAACAAACATAATAACCTTGGAACATCACCGTGTTGGAAATGAACATTTATGGTAGCTTTTGTTACATGGATGTAAATCAAACATACGGCATTTCTAGAGAATTTTAGGAATAAATAAAATATTTAAAGCTGTACATCCCAAAGGGTCTGGCCAAATGAAATCCCACCGAAAGACCCCATGAAAGAGCGACAGACCCGATGCAAGCTGCTTAGACACTACTGAACCTGCTGGAAATATCCACAGATTGGTCATTTGGGCATGTTTAATGGGACACTAGGTATTATGTTTGGTAATATTGGGGCTGGAAATGATTTATTAAGTTATTTTCCACCTGACAATTATTGTTTTGATTCATCTTTGGTCAATAAAATCTTTTAAAGATGGTGAAAAATGTCCATCCATGTTTGTCAAAGTCCAAGGGTGTGTCTCAATGTCGAGGAAAGCTGCTCCAGAGCCACTATTTCAAGGATGCTACGTCATCGAGTCCCGCCGAAGGACTGTTCCAATGTCCAGGATCCTTGGAATTCTACAGAGGCGTTGCGGGAAATTTCGTTGCTACACATGTGTAGACTCTGCGGTCTTAAAATCCCCACAATGCTTTGCGCAAGGACCAATTTCCAAATCTTTGGCGGAAATGACGCACACCTGCACACCTGTTAGCCTGTTCCACAATTCTTCGTTTTCCGAGGCTAGGAAGGATTCTTGCCTTTTTAGTTCATCCCATTTGAAAATCTGCTCTTATTACAGACTCTAAGCTCGCTGTGGAGTTACATTTTACACTGTTGGTCATGATGACTGTGTGGAGACACCTTAAGTCCGTAGGAGGATCATTTTAATAACACAGGGAAGACGTGGAGTCTCAGAATGAGATACACGAGGAAGAAATGAGCCAGGAGGGAGCGAGGCGGGGGGTGGGGGGGGAGACACATGGGATTATCTGTGCTAGTTATACTGAACAGTGAGCACAGCAGGATCTACCTTTCAGGAACCCACAAAGTAAACAGCCATATACATTTTCCCAGCGGTGTCTCAGAAACGTAGAAATTGTTCTGGTCACGAAATCTAAAAATAATCACGATTAATTCAATTGAAAAAATATGTCCACCAGTTCATATCTTTTTATATATGAAGTTATTCAGATTCTAGCAACAAGACCGAATGCAAACCAAAATGCCGGACGTGAACCAACAACAAAATAATCTGGAGCTTTTTACACATGTACACATCCGTTTGGCAAGCGTTGGTACAAAGCCTGGACAGAGTGGACCGTGTAGTCAGATTTGGCTTCAAAAAGCCAACAGACTCCAGTGCCATGTGGAGGGAAACTCTGAGCTGGCTGCCATAACACCTGAAGCTGCGAGGGAGGGGCACCAGGGATGTGATGGACAATCAGTCAATGAATGAATAAACATGCTCTCTATTTAATAGAACAAGACAGCATCTCCCACTCAAAATTAGGACAAAATCATACTGCAAAGAAAAAAAAAGTAGTCTGTATTTATGCTGAGAATAAGCAGCCTGGCTGTGATTCATGCGTGGGTTAACAGCAGGGACAGTGCTCATGTTACCTGATTTCAAAGCCTCTCTTTGTGGTGTACAGTTTCTCTGATGGTGACTGATATTTAAGTGGCCCTGAGCAATAATGTGCATTTCCCAAGGTCAAAAACATGCAATGCAGTTTGCTTTGGTGGGATGCAGAGCAAGAGAGAAGCATATGGCTAGTCCTAACGTGACCTGCCCTGCATACAAGCAGTATACATCAGAAAGTGATCAATGTTTCATTCATTAAATCTCATTTTTATGAAAGAAAACACAATTTAAATACACCATCATGCCTGCCAAGGATGCTGTGTAAATGGAAATCGGCCGCATGATAACAGCGGTGATGTAAAGGTGATATGGTGGTGTGAATTAGCTTATATCTAAAGGCATATGGGATAGGTGAGTGTGATCACTACTAATTACTCTAGTGGTCGCGAAACGATCAAAAAGCCCGGTTCAAATGAGCCACAGATCAATCCAACCCTACCATTTCTTACAGAGGGCTTTTTTTAATAAACCATATTTACAAAAACATCAGTCAACATCCTCGCCCCTCGCACCCCAGGCTTACCTTGCACCCGAACATGAGGGACAGCGTCCGGTTGCTGCAGATGAGCTTACACTGGCACATGACCGGCGAGAGACACTTTAAATTCCTGACAGGCAGAGACATCAGTCCAAAGCCTCACACCGCGCGCGCACACACATATACACACACCGACAGACAGACAGAGCTCGCCGGTCTGCCGCCACTCACTGAGCCACGAGAGCCGCGGAAGCTGAGGAGGAGGGTCGGTGCTAGCAGCGGGCAGGCTTCCCGGGTCCAATGTGTTTGAGCGACTTCATGATAGTGCCCGTTGGACACGTTTAAAGCGTCGGTCTGTCGCTAAGCACTGCCATGTTGTTAATATTTTTTAACACTAGCAGCTTCAAAATGTGTACGAGTCTCTCTCTCTCTCTCCCCTCCTCCCTCTCCCCCCTCTCTGTGATTAACCGTAAAGTGTGTACTTAACACGCAGCTGGAATCATTAAGGAGAGCAGTGCAAAGGCGAAGCACAGAGAAACGGTACATCAATCTCTTTACCCGGCGGCAGCATGCGAGTTATATTGATAGCATTAATCAAAGTGAAAACAAACACACATACAGTCGTGTCAAATAGGGGGATACTGGGAAATGTTATATGGCCACTTCATGAAACACCACATGTTACAATGTGAGTACTGCGCCCCCTGTTGGATCTTCAGTCCAGTGCTCAAGGAGCTGTCCAAGGTGCTGACAGGTTTTAAATCCGTGCACAACACACAATGCCTTAGATATGTTTGCTAACTTTATGAGCTGAAAACTAGTGTCATACATCAACACACAGATACACGGCTATTGACGATGTTTGTCTCTGTCATCTTGCAGAATTTTTTTATGAGCCTAACTAGCTCAAGTTTTCCTTATTTCTCATAATTACAGAATGCATTTTGAACAAAGAAAGTTGTGATCTGCATGTAAACTAACACACTCAGAAAGTAAATTAGGTTTAGTTCAAACTGGTAGGTATAGACTTTAATGCTGTTGTATTGTACAGAATCACAGTTTTTATTATTTTCTTACTTGTATATATATGAATGCGTATAGTATTGAGGCAGTTCGATTCAAGCTTTTAACGTTGAAACACTTACCATCAAGGTGCAGTTAAAAGCAATACGTTGACATAATGTTTAGAAGTAAACTAAATATAATTTGATATCTTTCTCTGAAAGAACAGAGCCAAATGTGAGTGTGACGATTTCCTTTCTATTTGTTTAATTGGTTTATGTGGTAGAAACAGTTTGTTGGATGAGACATGTTGCTTTTTGATATAGCTAATACTTCTCATTCTTTGCTGATCAAACATTTAAAGATATTAAAATAACTAATCAGTGTGCAACTTAACTCCCCTCTGATATTGTTGATCTGACCCTTCCCTGAAAATAAATAATAACTAAGTCAATGCGAAAAAATCATATATTTATAAATATTTCAAAAGGAATTAAACAGTATTTTGAAAGATAGGTACTGAAGATAAACAGGAACGACCAAAGCAGGTAACTTCCCTTTTTAAAGCCACAATCGTTCCATTCTTTTCCTCCTTGACATGATAGGTGTCTCATGTGTTATTTGTTTTTGTTTTTGCTTCCTCTCCACTCCTCTGTGATTGTGCTGACATGCTGAGCCCACAGGGTGGAGTGAGAGAACCAGGTACGTTAGATTTAAATATTGTGCATTCATCTCAGGACCGACTGCGGCGCAGGGCTCAACGCTCTCGGGTGACGTCAGCGTTCCATCGAACACAGACTAGTCCAAATACACCAGTGTGCTGCTGATAGTTAAAAAAGACAAACGTATCACCCTCCCAGAGCGGTGGGGATGTCCTGGGAAATGTGCAATGTGCTGCAGACATCAGCAGGTTGATCACTAGCCCACAGAGGGAGGTCATGAATTGAGCAGACACTTTCTCAGGAAAAATGATATTCTTTACAGTTAACTCACAGAGCAGAGGGAACAGTCCATAAATCAGCCGATCAATACAATCAATACAGAGAGGTTTAAGAAAGCACCCTTTACAAATAAGGGGGTTTTCACTACAACTATGTGAACATCTATACAGCAAGACAGGTGTGTGTGTGTGTGTGTGTGTGTGTGTGTGTGTGTGTGTGTGTGTGTGTGTGTGTGTGTGTGTGTGTGTGTGTGTGTGTGTGTGTGTGTGTGTGTGTGTGTGTGTGTGTGTGTGTGTGTGTGTGTGTGTGTGTGTGTGTGTGTGTGTGTGTGTGTGTGTGTGTGTGTGTGTGTGTGTGTGTGTGTGTGTGGCCTTGTGCACATTCTTGTTTTAGTACTCTACTGGTATGACGTGGCTTTCCCTCACAGTCGGTCTAACTTTATTTCTAAAAACATCTCTCAGTTTCCATGGATATTTCTGTCTAAAAAAAGGCACTTGGTTCTCTGGTTTCAGCAGTGGATGGATTTTATAAACGAACCTGGCCTTGAGTGTAACAGAAGTAACAGTGTTTCAGTTGAACACCTCTCTACACTGCGAACGTAACTGACTCTTCATACACATTCTTTAATAGATAAAAACTCATTTGATCGTGATCGATTTCCAATATCGGTTTAATCATAAATATGAGTGACAAGAAAAAACTGCCTAGCTTGCTGTCATGACAAGTGAAACCGAGCCTGATGTAAATAGTGATGTAAGAAGAGAAGACCAAACACATACTATTTATTGATCCTTTATTGATACATGTGGACCTATGATTTATGTTTTCATTAAAAAGAATGTTCAGTAAAAAATGGTGTCATGTGATGCTATAACAATATGTAAGCTACACTGATTACAATATTTTATGTTTTATGCATTTTTGGATAATTAGGGAAACATACTGGAACGCAATCATTTTGGCAGGATATTCATAACAAATGTTAGTTTTAACCCAATAACTAGTTTAAAGTGAAAGACATCAAGAATGTTTAATATTAGATGAATTGATTAATGGAAAAATAATGGAAAATAAAGAATGTTTCCCATTGTTTGCTACTAAAATCACTATATGTATCTGATTCACCAGACATTGAACATATTTCTTTTGCAAAGCACTTTCTACTTTGACTTTAAATAATTATTTACAGAGGAAAAAGCACGGAAAGCTTTTAATTTCTCAGTCCATCGAGCTCTGACATGTATAAGAACAGCAGGAAAGTCATGTTGGCTGCCTCTCAGTGATTTCACAGAAACTCCATTTCTACACACATGACATAGAAAGCCTTTTCTTCTCTACCCGCCTGTATATAGGACCAAACTATTGGATTATACCCTATAAAACAGATGTGTCTTTATACATCTAAGTAGTCTTATTATAATTCAAGCAGCACTTCCAGTGGAGCATACACAAAGATGGATGTGACTGTATCTATACTCATCACAGATGCAGCATAATTTCCATGGTGATCATTTGCTGTAAATGGCTTCCCCCTTCCACTACAGCGTTATGTAAGCGTGGGAGTCACATGGAAACCTGAACTGTGGTGTTCCAGTGTTGAGTATAACATTAACATCCTAATGCTGCATTGTGAGGGAGAGAGAGACCCAAAAGAGCCGGTGTTTCCATGACAACATCTGCAGGGGGTGGCAGATCCCTAATAAATAGTCCACTTCCCAGCAGCATCGCGGTCACCGTATCTATAAGATGACTGCTTCTGTCACGGCTCATTGTGCACAGTGCACAGAGGCAGGTGCCTCATGCTACTACGACATGCGTCACATGCCATGACACATGCCAGTGTTTTCTCCAATTCACAGAGAATATAAAGAGGCGCTGTGACTCTGAGAGCAAGCTGCTATCGCTGGCATTATTCACCAGCGAGCCTGAGAATGCCAGAAACGCTGCTAAGCCTAATACACTGTAGGTTGAGCCAGATGTGCCATACTCCACATTTCCTTATCTTTTCCGCAAGCCTTGGTAGCCATTTTTAAATCTTGTTATAGTGAGTGGGTGAGAAAAAAACGCCAATAGGGATGTACCTTTACATACGAAATAAAAACGACTGCTTGCCAGCATATACAGTAATATGATCGAGACAGACGGATGCATTTATGCCTTTTCTATGTCTATCGACGATTTTGGAGTTGCTAAGTAAATAACATTGACCATTATTCTCTGTTCTTTCAAATCTATCTATACAAGACAAGCCTTACCTTTAAGCTGTAGTTGGTCTATTCAAATGTTTGTAATTCTCCCTGAAACACTAACTATATCGAGCACAGTGTCAATCCATCCTTGTGAATTGAGATTCAAACTGGGCAGTGTGATCAAATATGAACCAATGTTCTGTCTTCAGAAATATATTTGAGCTTTCTGTTAAGTTGTAAAAGGAAAGAGTTGGTGACCGTGCCGCCATCTTGAATACAGTGGAGCCAAAACCAAACAAACGTTCTTGTGTTACATGTAACAGTGATATAATGTTTCTCAAGTAGACAATGACGTAACAACATCTTGACTTATATTCAATCAGAGCTTCATAGTTTGACGGTTTGATTGCAGTTCACAAGCTTGTGAAATGCAAATATCATTATGAGCCCGAGGAAGAGTAAGATTATTATCGGTCTCATGTACTACTTTCAGGTTATAGTTATAGTTTCAGCAAATATGACTTGTTTGTTTCCGGACTATACTTGTGTGGTGCCTTTATTGATCATAAAGCTCATATTTTTCAACACCCTGGAATGTCTCTTAAGAATGAACTAGATATCAAGCGTCTTTGAGCAACAGGAAAAGCGCTTTTATAAATACAGTGTTATTATTTGTTTTATTATTATTCATCGGAAGAAGTACAGAAGTAGAACAGACTGCGTCATTTGAGGAGAGTATTTTGTTATATCTGGACTCTTTGTCGTGTGTAGAAATGATGCTTTTCAACCCTATAATATGTTTTCATCGCTTCAAGATTCGCTTAAATATGGTCTTCCATGTTTGTAGTTTGCGTGTCCTTTCGCTACATTCAGATAAGCCCACACTGTATTTTTTGTCAAAACTACACAGAATGACGTTGTATTTACTGCATGTATACTCTCTCATAAGGTATCCATATTTATCCAAACATTGGGTTATCAGAACATCCATATTTCTTCCACCCATTTTGGGATCTTACACAACGAAACCTCTGAATTTGAGCTGCTTTGACACTGAAATAGTGATATTAAAGTGAACTGGGA